TTTGGCATCTGCGAGGTATGCCAGGGGTGAGTTTACTCTTTGGTTGGAACACTTATAGATTTTAGATTTCTTCGTATACTGATATAGGAATGAAAGTCTGTTCCCATAATAAAGTAAACAGGATTGCCGAAGGAAAAAAAAAAAATATCAATTTAAACAAACTATAGTATCAAACTATGGCTTAAACTATTTTATGATATGGCTTAGAGGTCTGAACCAGATGCAAATTTATTACCTGGGTTACCCATGTAACTTTGAAATCAGGTACTTGGGTAAAAACAGGTTATATAGTACAAAGTGGAAAATATGAAAATTCTACTTAGCATTACAATTTTATACTGTAAAAGGTTAGTGTAATGAACTTAGTACATGTTAAGGTCTCATGATCAACCTTTAAGTAAAAATAGCTAGAACGATATTTAATTGAAGCTTAGATTATTGTAACTATAAGTATTATAATTTTTAGCTAAAATATTGATTTATTTATTTTTATAATTTAAAAAAATGAAATTACATCAGAATTTCTTTTTAAAAACATTATTTTATTTACTAACTTAGGATTTAGTTGTGTACATTTCACAGTAATACAATTACCTGCATCTGAAAACAACCTTTTACTGGGCACAAAGAATGCAGAAATTGACAAATACTTTCTAGCTAACTTTGCTATGTTAGAAAATTTTGTTTTCCAAATTGCCCACCATTCTTTGGCAATAGAAGTTTGTGTGAGATCTAGATAGCATTCTAATTTGGCTAAAGGATTGGAGCAGTGTAGCTTGAAGCAGATGTACTAAAAATTGAGGTGTATAAACGATTGTGATGAAGATTGTTACTATTTGAGGAAGTAGTATATATTGATGCTGTTGTTTGTTCATAATTTGAAGTAGCTATATTTTTGAATTGATAAGTTAACTCAGCTTTGACCCTTTCTTGGGTTTCTTCATCCCAACTAAAAAATGTTTTTAGGCATGGATCCAAAAGTGATGCCAACAAACCAACCATCAGTGGTTTATTCTAATAATCAAATAAGGAATTATAGATTGTATAGTGCATTGACTTGATGATTTGAGAAGAATTATCAGTTAACTCTGAAGTATCAAATTCTGAATCATCACTATCATCATCTGATGATTCTTCATGGTGAAAGTTAGGTGTATCTATTTAATCAATTTAAGATATAAAATATATCAGAAAAACTTTAGCTTTTAATAGCTATCTATTTTCTAATATATAGTAAATATTAGTAGCTTAACACTACTAATATTTACTATATACTATAAAATAGATAGTTATTAGAAGCAATAATAGGTAAAATGTATATAATGAATAATATACCTTGTTCATTGTTTTGAGCATTACTTGTTATATCGAATTTAACAAATGTATATTTAAGCGCTTCAATTAAAGGATATATAATAGATAAGGTAGTATACTGTAAGCTACTAAAATAAGTAGTGGCATCATCAAATGGCTCTAACAAAGTAACGATTTGATTTAACAGGTTCCATTCATATGGTGAAAGAATCAGCTTTTTTAATTTTTGACTATCAGCTTGATCATCCAAATTGTTAGATAAAGATAGTTTTGCATATAACCATTCAACTGCTTTATGTAATTTAAGTAGCCATTTCCATGAATGGTATTTTAAATTCCATCTCGTCTTTATATCTGCTATATTACGTAAAATAGGTTTTTCAGAATCTGCAACATTTATAATGAATCACTACCACCAGAATTTAATGCATTAGTCGGGCAATCATTACTTTGGATTTGTGAATATAAATCTTGTTGCACTTTATCAAGACATTCACTTTGCTTAGGAGATTTGGTAAAAAACTTGACTAATTTTTTTATTTTTTTAATATGAATATTTGTTTTTTTGAAAGCACGAGAAACTGACAATTGTAAGGTATAAGCTGCACAAGGCAAATGTTCAACCTCCTCCCACAAACCAATTGCTTTAGCTATATTACTCCTGTTATCTGTTGTAATACAAGTTATTTTTCCATCTAACCCAAATTCTATAACATTTTTTTTTAGAAAAGTAACAATTTTTTTGGCCAAATGCGGATATTGCATATGTTCCATGCAAAGAAGGGAATCATATACTCTAAAATCACTTGCTAACCAATGAATTGTTATGCCTATGTATCTATGTTTGCCATGCGAGGTCCATAGGACAGTTGTTAAGAATGCTGATTCACACGTATTATCTAATAGTTGTTTCAAATTTTTAACTGCTTTAGGATAAGCATCATTAATTTCTTTTTTAATTCTTTTTTAGAGGGAAGTTGGAATGCTGGCTCAACTATTGCCATCATCTTTTTGTATCCTTTTCCTTTAACGATACTAAATGCTAAATTATCAATAATTATCCATTTAGCAATTGCTTGCCGAATCTCTTGGTTTCATAGTTCCTTATACATTTTAACTTTTGCTCGTTCAAGAGCTTCAGCCAATGTTTGTTGAATACTATGGTCTTGATTCTATACAATGATTAGATAAGCATTATTGATTATATTAAATATTAAATAATGATTAATACATAGATTGATATAAAGCAAATTGGATTCAAATCGGCATTATGTAATCCTGATATGAATCTGATTTAAAACAGATATTTGGTGCAAATAGAGACCTATTTGTGCCAAATATCAGTTTCAAATCAGATTTATATTAGGATTACATCATGCCGATTTGAATCTGATTTGTCTTAAATTGACCTGTGATAGAAAGCTTACTTTATTTTTATTCTCATTTAGACTATGTTTGTCTCAAAGATAACTACTCATATTTCCAGTACTACCATCATGTAGAAATTTATGACCGCACTTAACCTTTTCATTACTTAAATTCAGGATCTCAACTTTACAAACATCATACATTCCATCCTTGCTTACTTCAAAGTATTTCCATACCCAACTGATTTTTGCATATTTTCGCCTGCGCTTCAGATGTGTCAATTTACTCTTTTTTGTTGCACGAGATTGATTTTCTTGACTGACTACTGAAACAGTCCCACTACTAGAACCAATTGATATATTATCACTAGTTTCGCAGTTTGAATCAAAAACTAAAGAATCTTCATGAAGATCACTTTCATTATCACTCATTGTAAGGTAAAGATCAATTTCGAGTTACTTAAGGTAAGGATATAACAATTATGTCGAAAAAAAGAATGGGAAGATTTTTTTTATAAAATTTATATCAATTTGCCAATCTATATGGAATGGATGTTAAAGAGTCTTTTTAAGAATGACAAGTTTGTGAATAATTTTTTCTGTATTTTTATTTATTTGTTTTTTTTTGTTTATTTATGAATTCGCTAATTATGAGGCTCTTTATATTTTTTTGCGAAAATATATATTATTATTAATTTAATACTGCTACGCATTGCTTTCTAGCTTACATGATGAGAAAAATGATGCAATTATTGCATTAATTTCACGAAGATTGTTCTGTTTTACACAAAACTATAAAGAGAATCCTATTTATTTTCCATCACGTATTCTTGTCTTATTTTATGGGGCTAGTGCATTTGAAGGTTATTAATAGAAAGTCAGAAGGATGTTAACCTGAACGTTTTGTGCATTTGGTATGTACCGGTAATTGAATACAATATTAAACAAATTGTGTATATGACTTTTTTTATTTTTAATTACATATAATATTCAATTAACGTGTTTAGGAGATAGATAAATTGGATGTATAAAACTATGCGAGTTGATATCCTACCAATGCAATAGCCCCATAAAAATTGACGAAAGATTTTGCTCAAAAACAAGACTTTGAATTATTGCATATTTAGAAGTAACTTGTTTTAAATGTATATGGTGTTAATTCTCATTTAATAATATCAGGCTCAACAAATATTTACTATTCGATTGATTTGAATATATTTATTTTAATATACTCGATGCTAAAAAATAATTACATTAAAATTTAAGAACAAATTGCAACTTTTATTTTTCATCACATGCAATGTCTAGTGCTATGTGCTTTTCTATTTAATATATTATGCGCTTTTTTACCTTACATATAATTATCACGATCTTATTTCTTATCTAAGAGACGGCTATCGCATTTATTATTCTTATTTATGTATGGTTTTTTTATTATATATATGCTTGCATACATTAACGAGTAAATTTGAACTATTTAAACCAATGCCAGGGCGTAGTGTCAATTATAGATTTTAACGCCAAGCATAGGATCAGATAATGTCAATTTTGGATTTTAATGCCAAGGCATAGGATCAAATAGTATAAATTTTAAAGAGAACCAGAGCAGAGGTTCATGTGCACTTACATGGTGCAAAGATGATTCGAAAATAATATATTCTGGGAATTTATTGGTTAGTAAGTATTAAATTTTAATACTTACTAGCTAATAAATTCCCAGTTCAAGTCTTAACCGATTTGACCCGGGTTATAAATTAGAAACCTGGTTCACCCGGGTTTGTAAAACCCGGTTCGGACCTCTAATATGGCTTAAGCTACTTCAAATTATGGCTCAAGTTACTTTAAGCCATAGCTCAAGCTACATTAAACTAAAACTGAAACTAAAAGCCAATAATTTTTAAGCCATTATTAAAGTCTTGGCTTGAATTATAGCTCAACTATTATCTAGCTAAACATCGTATAAGTTTATAGCTAAAGCTGGCTTTTAATATGTATATGTCATGCTTGAAGTTGGTATCTGCTTGAAGTCAAACATGACTGAAATTAATCTTCCTGCATGTATTAGTCAACAAGTTTAGGCAGGTTTAACTTCAAGCAGATCTAACTTCAAGCACGACAGTAACACTGTAAAATAATATGGCTACCATTTTTTTTTTTTGAGCGATGCTAGAGTTATTGTTTTATGTTGGTGACATTATTTATTGTATTCAGCTCTAGCAATACATATATAACACGTAATATATGTTTATAAGCAAAGCAGAGTATAGTAAATAATTAATAATAAGCCTAAATTTATAAAGTCTTGTTTTATATTGATGATATTCGTTGAAAAATTTTGCTTCAAGAAGACCTGATACTAGTAACTTTTTATATTGATCAAATTCTTAAATTTGATTGGCTATACCTATAAAATAATCGACAAAAATTTTCGCGTACAGTACGTACAGTACAGTACGTATAGTACTGTACGCGGCACATCTCTAGTCAAGACGCTGATACACATGGGTCAAGCAACCCGGATAAGAACTTTACTAATTGGTAATTATAATATGTCTTCTACTCATAGTTATATTAGGTACATTTCGTGGAAAGATTTAAGGAGAGTTAACTCAGTGATTATCACGAATTATCACCCCCGATATAATCACGTAGTAATTTTGATTGGCCAAAAAATATAAACAAATGTCAGATGATCACAGGTTTTATGACATTTGTTTACTTATTTTTCCTCACTATACAACCATAACAGGAGGGAACGTTAATGTTACACGAATGTTTATGTATTGTCTTATTGTAACTGGCCAATCAAATCACAAAATTT